TCGCCATCTTGACCTCACACTTGGTCAATAACCCATACATTGTACGTATTACAACCTTCTATCTGCAATATCACATAAATGGAGAACTATGCTAAAGTAGGAATGTCTTCTACCATCAACTGAATATGTACCACTTGCAATCGAAAAGGTCACATGCAAAACAATTTACAATACTGTACCCAATCACCAGCACTTCCTCCTCCAACTGCAAAGGGAAGACTCACTGACTGCCACTTTATCTTTCAAGAAAGGCAAATTAACAAATCAAATGTGGTTTACTGTGGTTTGTAGATGTACTCTTATCAACAACGATATGCATCATCACAGTGGTCAAAATGTTGTGGACTCACAAGGTGCACCCGAGTGGGTTCACAACAAATTTTGGCCACTGTGATGACGCATATCATTGTCGATAAGAGTACAGACAACGCTAAACTACATTTCGATTTGTTTTTTACCACAATATCAATGTCAAAGAAAATGTTTTTTCAAAGCGCAAGCTGAAAAAGGCATTTTGCAACACATTGACCAGAGCAGCGTTGTCTGGACTCTTATTGACAACAGCATATTAGCCAATCAGATTACGAGATTAGCAGCAATTGTGGTAAAAAATCTATTCAACCATTATACTCAGCTCTCTCACAGTTGAACATTTCCTACTTTTCAGTCTCTTCAATGCTTTTCCGGAAGAATGGCGCAAAATATTAAAGACAATAAAAATCTCAAAAACTCGTGATCTTATCCAAACTGATGTCAATTTATGTATTGATGGGAAAAAAGTCAATTTCCAAAATCTTCAATTGAAGTCAGTATATGACAGTTTTGTTTCTAAGATATCCAGTATACCAATAGCGCAAACGAAATATAAGGAAGCTTTCAGCATGCACACATTCCAGTAAGAAAAAGATATATCTATGCCCTTCCAAACAACACTGGATACTAAAATAAGAGAATTTCATTATAAAATATTAAACAGGATCTTATATACAAACAAGATGCTAAACTAGATCCTCCCCTTCTGCAATTTTTGAGAAAAGAAGTTGGAGACCATAGAACATCTCTGTGGCGAAAATACTGTGGCAGGGGGGTACTGACAATCACAACATACATGATGATGTTTCATACAAAATGAAGTTAAAGAAGCTAGCTGAGACCCGATCAAATGGAAAGAAATATATCTTATTACAGTTAACAATCTAAATAAATCAAATATATTTTGTTTGTCCATAAAGCTTACCTGCAATCCGAGTTCAATCGCTCGCCAACAAAGCTCTCCAACTCCCAGCGAAGTTCTTCCCCTGAATATACAACAGGTACACTGTGATAAGCAGAAAGTCCTCTATACGAACAAAGCATGAGAGCACTACAACGAAAGGTGCTAAATATACAATAAATAAGACCGAATTAACCTTTATGCCTGCCGTTTTTCAGCCTCGTTCAACTTTCGCGGTTCAACAACATGGCCGAACTGTTTTGCAAAGAATGCTGGGAGAGTTCACTCACCTCGCGCGTTACCCGCGCGAGTCGTCGCGCTAATCCACTTTCATTCATGACCATTCATGCCTTCAAGGATTGATATTTCAGTTGTGCACTGTTGTGACTGGACAGGTCTCCGACTTAGTACCTACTAGCAGGAAATTTATAGGTAGTCAGCCATTAAGCATTTTAGCACATGTAAAATAGCTTGACTTTTTGTTAGCCCGTGATGGCAAAACACGCGAGAGTTCTTCTCTTGGCAAAAGATACCGTGCTACTTTCAGAAAAGGCCTTATTTAGCAAGTGCCTTGGTTCAGACAGAAAAAACTTATCAAGAGTCATGTGAATTAGACTAGTCATAAGTCAGCTAAATTTGAAATAGGTTCTTCATTCCTAATTATTGACCAGAGTGCGCAAACAGTTTTCAGACCAAACTGGTTTCAAAACTATACGCTTTGAGGCCCAATAACTTTATAGCTACCCGCAAGGGGTTAATCTCCCTCGCTAGCCGGAAAAGAGGAGCGTGGACTGACCGGAGTGTGCAAACATTTTTTCAGACACAGGGGAGCACCCCGGGAGGCTATCTCTCCATCGATCCAGGAAAAGAGAGTGTAAGGTGATCGCAGGTGATCTTGGGACAAAGAAAAGTTGAAGAGGATCTAGTTAGCTAGACAACTTCGCAAGAGGAAACACTGATCACGAGGTCGCTAGAATCTCACCCATAAATTCGGTTTAACAAAACGTTCAGAAGAAACAGCTTGAAACGCAATTCAATAGAATCTACTACAGTACTGCGAACTGGTTTAAAATGGGTGAATATTTGCGTATGTGTAAGCAGATTCGCGTCGCACTCCTCGCAGTCCATATTGACCATGTTCCTGGTCGATAACACCATAACACAGAGAGTTCAGGTCGTTTTTGNCAGAAAAGGCCTTATTTAGCAAGTGCCTTGGTTCAGACAGAAAAAACTTATCAAGAGTCATGTGAATTAGACTAGTCATAAGTCAGCTAAATTTGAAATAGGTTCTTCATTCCTAATTATCGACCAGAGCGCGCAAACAGTTTTCAAAACTATACGCTTTGAGGCCCAGTAACTATATAGCTACCCGCAAGGGGCTCATCTCCCTCGCTAGCCGGAAAAGAGAGCGTGGACTGACCGGAGCGAGCAAACATTTTTCAGACCAAAATGGTCAAATTCAGACCAGAATGGCTTCAAAACTATATACCCTTTGAGGCCCCATAACCATGTACCTCACACAGGGGTGCACCCCGGGGGACCTATCTCTCCCTCGATCCAGGAAAAGAGAGTGTGAGATGATCGCAGGTGATCTTGGGACAAAGAAAAGATGAAGGGGATCTAGCTAACTAGACAACTCCACAAGCGGAAACACTGATCACGAGGTCGCTAGAATTTCGCCCGTGAATTCGGTTTAACAAAACGTTCAAAAGAAACAGGGTAAAACGTAATTCAATAGAATCAACTACAGTGCTGCGAACTGGTTTAAAATGGGTGATAATTTGTGCATGTGTAAGAAGATTCGCGTCGCATTCCTCGCAGTCCATATTGACCATGTTCCTGGTCGATAACACCATAACACAGAGAGTTCAGGTCGTTTTTGTTTCATGTCTAGAACGGCTGGGTACGTCGTTTTTTTGAGTTATTTTTTTGTAAAAAAAA